TGCTGAACCCAGAAGAGACAGCTTGGTGGCTCTCAGGATCCGCGGTGCTGTGCAGCACATGGCATTAGCAATAGCATTGGTTGCTTAACTGATGTTAGTCAGGGTCAGTGTGGAATATGCCTACAGAAACATTCTTTTCCTCCTTTCCTCACCCCCCCCCCCCCTCCCCATTTTTCTTCTTGGTTTAAATGACTTTCAAGACCACAAGAGCATTTCTGCCATCCATGATGAGCAACAACCATGGTCACGTTGTCACGGTGGCTTCAGCAGCAGGTCATTTTGTGACTTCTTTCATGGTGGTTTATTGGTAAGTGATTTTGAATTGAGCTTTCTTCATTTTTTTAATTTTTAATTGCATCTTCACCGTCAGCAAGCACAGATTAACCAAAGTAATCCTCCTACTGAATACCGTATGTCCAAAGGATTGGGCTAATGAGGAGAAAAGCACAACAGCCAGCACTTAGGGATGCCTGGAGGCTCCTGCCAATTTGTTCATTAGCTCTGACTGAAACAGGAGCAACACCTGTTTGAAGGAAAAGTCATGTGAGACATCAACTAATGAAGGTTTCCCCTCTTTTCTCTCCCTCACTGATGCAGACTTTTGCCTAGCAAAAAAGGTATCCTCTTCGCTTCTCCTTAGAAAGTAGCACTCCTCTGAAATGTTGTAGTGTGTGTTGTCAGGAAAACCTCGGAGTGTTAGATTTTCACCTTTCTACCATTGTGGCGGTGATGGTAGCGTATAGAAAAACTGCTAGACTGCATATTGTCATTCTGTGTCAGCACTAGGCCCCTATCATAGCAGCTCCTGAAGGAGCAATCTGTCCCTGGGAACACTCCTACTTAGAGAGTCGCTCACTGCTGGCAAGGTGAGAACTCCCCAGCCAGGGCTTTTACTGGCATTGCACTGTCCAGATCAATAGCAGTCAGTAAACTGATTCTCTGGTTCTACTTGTTTCTTGAATTAATTTATACTCCTGGCCTACACCAATTTCTGTGGCATTAATTGCCCCATTTTTGCATCTGTAATGTTCCTCTGTTTCAAAACTCACATCCAGAGGTCACAGGACGCTCCTGTAAGGTACGAGAAACAGTAGAAGGTTGTTCTCCATTTCTACCCTGCCCATCCTGCTTCATTTTAGAGTTCCAGGCTGCATTTATTCTAAAAATCTCCTCACATGGGAAAAAAGAGAAGTCCATCGATTGATGCACATTAGTAACCTTCTTCTTAGAACTTCCGATATTCATTTATCCGTTTGCAACTGAGGCACCTTTTTCTGAACGACACCTGCTTTGCATTCCAGAGCTAGCCCCCAAGCAGCACTATCTGATCCAGCACTACACTCTGGCACAGGGAAAGTTCAAATTAGTTTCTGCCCTGTCTCTCAGCTGAATTACCTTTTTTTTTTTTTGCCTCCTAGTCAGTACTGGAGGGATCTTTCAGGCCATTTCCTTTTGTAGGAAACTAGAAATAGTGCTTCTGCCCTCTCATTTGTGCTTTTTCCTTTCCTGAAGCTCAAGCAAGTTTGCTGCGGTTGGATTTCATAAAGCTCTGACTGAGGAGCTGTCTACCCTTGGAAAGGATGGAATAAAAACTACATGTCTTTGTCCAGTTTTCATAAACACTGGATTTGTCAAAAACCCCAGTACAAGGTAACTGTCAAAACTCTGCTTTCCTGTTCTTCCTTGTTTGCATCAAGGCACTACGTATTAGCCTCCCTCGCTTTAGGCCTCGTATTCCAACTGACCGTGCAACAAAAGTGTAGAGCATTGGCTAAAGAAAATCTGCAGCGTCCTTTAACCCACACAAGGGTTGCATTTGAATGACCTGAGTTTATGCAGATCTGTGAAGCTTCCTTTATTCAGATAGGAGCACCCCTGTTTTATCATCGCAGCTCTTAACTCTCATGCCTTCCTTCGTAGGCTTGGAAAAATTTTGGAGGTTGAAGAAGTTGTGGAGGCGCTGATGGAGGGAATACTGACCAACCAGAAGATGGTTTTTGTTCCA